CAACCTCGATTGCGGACCTGGAGAACATCCCCATCACGGAGGTACAGAGTGGGCACCGCTTGCTTCCTAGTGCCCCGCCAAGCCGCGGGGGTGGCCTCAACATCAGTAAGCGAGGGAGTTTGAAGTCGGAGAGAGCTGAGCAGAAGACGGGCCGTGCAGACTCGTGGCAGCAAAGCAGCGCGCGGCATGGGCGGCGCAACCACCACAACAGATACATGAGTTGGATCGACGGAACCCGGGATCCACTCCCAACCACCACCATAGACGGCCGGTCGGACCTGCACAGGGGTGTCCCACGCAGGGAATTGCGTTAGCAACGCCTGCGGGCATCGAGCATCGTGTGACCAGATAGGGTCTTGGAGACCTCCGCCCGGCTGCCATAATCGATGGGCGATGCCAGCTGAGTCCATACGTACTCCCATAGAGGGGCGAGTATCAAGGAGAAGGCTAAGGCCAAGGTAACTGAGCGAACGCCCCCGAACGACGGCCAGAAGCCGAGCCAAAGCAAACCGTGGGAGCCACGGTAGCGGAGTACCTGCAGACACAATCTGGCCCGATTCCCGCGTGCCATGGACACCGTCGCAATAGGCGGGCCTCGAGCGCCCGCAGGGCAAGCATCCGGCAGCTAGGGGTACTGTCCAGAAATCCTCGCGCTGAACAAGGGTAGGCCAAGGATCCATGCAGCAGTTGAGGTCGGCCGACTCAGGCGCAGAGAACGAAGGTTGGGGACGAGCAGCGACAGCAGGCAATCCAGCAAGGAGGAGAAGACCGACAAAGGGGCGACCGGCTAGCAGCAGAGACGCACTGACAGCTAGCTTATCAAGCGCGATAGCTGGCGGAACACCGGCCAGGGGATCCCAGATCCGTTCAGCAGTTGGGTCGACCACTAGAACGTCACCATCTCGCAGCCGAGTCGGGGAGGTAGCTGCGATACTGGGGTGCCAATGCCACCCAAAAGGCGGTCCGGCAGCATCAGGGCCGCCAAGATGGGCAGTAACCACAGGGTATCTGTTTTCACGGCTATCGACGCAGAACACATGTGCAGCCAGAGGCGCCCCAGGGCTGATCAGGTGGAGATCGGGGAGACAGCCCGACAAGGCCGGAATCCAGGTGCCTCGCATCGGCTCACCATGGGCATCACGAAAACTGCATCTATCGGGGTCCCACCAGGTCCCCTCACGAAGAATAATATGCGAGGGCGCTCGTCGGGCAGCGAACCAGAAGCGGGCTGAGCCTCCAGCCTCCAGGACAAATGGTAATGCCCAGGAGGCTGCGCTAAGCGCCTCCTGAGGGTCGCGGTAGTGCAGCCAATCAGGCAAGCCGTATTCCTGACACCCCGGATCAGAGGGACCCCGAGGCAATCACCGTGCCGCAGGAAGAGAGGCCGTCTTCGGTCACTGCTATAGACCCCCGGTGTGAAGGTCCATCGGGTACCTTGACCGCCTTCGCCACGGCTAGCGGCGAAGGCAAGTTGTGGGAGAGTAGCGAACTTAGGAACCACAACCGCCCTCGAGTGACCTCCGTCTAGGACGACAATCGAGGCGAAAGGCGCCGGGCAAGCAGGGATGAGAGTGAGGCATCGCTTAGGACCGAGCCCGCGCGCCGGGACAAAGGAATCAGCCCAACCGCCACAGTGGGAGTGGCCTGCCCCAACAATCCTTGGCCATCCCCAATTGACCGAAACTTGGTTAAAGCTGCTCGGCCCTGACATGGGGCATACAGTGCGGACGGCAACTGCGTCCTGACTCGCCGCAAAATCCCCAAAACAGGCCGTCTCCGCAGAGGGGCAGGGATGCCACATGTGAAGGGGTACAACCCGGGACAAGACCGAGCGACGCGCGTCACTCGGGAAAAACTGAAAACCAGGTTGGTGGCCATGAGAACTCCTTGAGCGACTCCGGCGACCCCGGCCAAGGCGTGAGCGAATGGTGCGGGCCTCCGACGAGTCAGGACTGGGGGCATCCGAGTTGCCAGCACCACATGGCAAGACTTGACACTGGAGGCTATAGATGACACCCAAGCTCCCGAACCATAGCCATCGATAAGGGGATGCAATAAACAGTGAGCCAAGAAGACCAAGACTCATGGGGTGGAGGTGATAGCTGGAGCTGGGAATCTCTATGACGACATCTCCATCGCGCAGTGTGGTGCCCTGCTGAAGTTCATCGTCGGGAATAGAGAGAACACGGGGTTAACCCTGGAGAGAGGGGAGATCAGCCCTGAGCTGCTGTCGGTCGGTATGCATGTGCACAGCCGTGCAAAAACAGGCAGCCGGTGTTTCAACCACAACATGTACAAAGCGGTCAGAAGCGGCTATCTGGACAAGGTGAGGGCGGTCTTCCGCGATCCAAGGGACAGGAACCCAGCCCCCTGGATAACGATCGGAGAAGGCTCCTTCAAACGTGGCATCAAGGGCGCTCCAGCGAGATCCACGAGGCACTGTGGTAAGAAGAGGCCGGGTGTCCGGTTGCCAGACAACAGCGTCCGACTTCGCAGCTAAACAGAAGTCCAGAGACCATATTGCACAATGGCGAAGCTGTTCGGCCCTAGTGAATACCGGGGTTTGGAAGAGGCCGGTGAAAGCATCGGGCGGCAGAGCCACGATAAGATCTCCAGTACGCCAAGCGATCTCATCCTGGCTATCGCCTGAGCTCTGCCCTAAAGCTGGGGGAATTCGAATCGACAGAACATCCAAGACCCGTGCCGTCCGAAGTGCACCAACGAGCCATGCAACAGATGTGACCCGCGGAATACACAGGGCAAAGTGCTCGAGATGCGATGTGACATGGACACAAACCAGATCTCGAATTGGGGGACGGGGGACTGCCACCATGGCACCGGCAGAAACAGTGGGCCACACGGGGCATGCAGTGGCGCCCCAATCCGGATCCTGCAAGACCAGAGCAGCAGACCAGGCAGAAACCGAGAAGGTTGTGGGCAGCGTGACAACCTGGCCTGGCCCCGAGAACGGGCTTAGATACACAGTGTCGACCGTATCATGCGAGCTAAGAGTCACGATGTCGGTTTCCGGATCATCCTCCCTCCACGGGAAACGGCCCACGCGATAGGCATTGAAGGAGAAGGCCAGAGGCTGCTGCATGGCGTCAGCGGTACCGAAAAGGAGGGAGCAGAGCACAACGCCGAGGGCACGGGCGTGGCCTCGAACTAAAGGCAGTAAGAGCCACCACCGCAGCAGATGCGCTGGCGATGCAGCGGATCTGGGGGCAGGCTCTCCAAAGACGACATCGCCATTACGGATCTCAACTCCGGCGTCGAGGGAAGCCGACGGCACTCCCCCAAGAACGACCGAGTCCCGGACAAGGCCCGTGCATGCAGCCAGAGCCCCCCGGCCAACATGACGAGGGACCGCCCGGACTCGTCGGCCGGCCGTGGTGGCCACCACAACATTGGCTTCAGCAGCTACACCATTTATCAGCATAAGTTGAGGGACGCTGGAGGCTGACCATTGCACCGGTGTCCACATTCCTGGGTATCGAAGGTGGAATTCCCCAGAAAAGGTGCATTGAATCGGGGCCCACGTCTCCCCAGCCGGGATCGTGGCCAATGTCGGGCGTTGTCCAGGCTGGAGTATGTCAACAACGGTGTCACTATCTAGCCTAAAACCAATCGCCCATGGGGCATGTTGGCCGGTGCCGCTGGTCTGGATATCCCATGGGTCTTCAACTTCAAGTGGATCCCGCCCCCAGACACGGTCCCGCAGGTAAATCACGTCGCCATTACGCAACCGATAGTCAGGCGGCGGGACATCGTAGAAGCGCCAGGCCTCCAGGCCATGCGGCAGGAAAATGTCCTCAACATCGGCACTGACCTGTTGTGAGGCAAAAGACTGCAACCACGAGTCCGTAACCGTGCGCGGCATAAGGGCAGCACGGCCGAAGCCTCTGTAGTGCAAGATCACAGTAACAGTAGCGCAATCATGTCCAACAGGAACGAAAGCCAGGGCATTGAAATGCAGACCCGGCCACACTGGGTAAAAATCGGTAGCCCAGGCCGCGTCATCATTAAGAAACTGTGCCCAAGCAGTACTATGAGCTGTATCCGGTGCAGCCCAGTAGGCGGGAAAGTTGCCGAGAAATGGGCTGTAGTACAACACCTGCACATGGTCGTCGGTGTTGGGAAGGCGGAAGACACGCTCGTGCGGTGGAACAGGCCAGGGGAAACCACCCGGCCGATGCATAGCAACGGAAGAGACGACCCCAAGAGTCCAACACCAGGGCCAAGACTGACGAGCCGAAAGCAGAAGGCATCCAAGAAGACCCGTGAAGGTGGGCCAGGGTCGGCTGCTGCTCGAAACATCTGTCGTGGCGGGCTGAAGAGAGGCCTCTGCAGTCTCAAGATCAACGTCCTCAAGACGCGCATATTCTGAAACAGCAGTATGGTCATCTGCCGTATCAATGCGAAAACAGTCACCTGAGCGGAAAGTGACGGTGTCTTGGACCACATCGATGTGCTGGGGCAGATCCAATCTCCCGTGGACGCCCTCAAACGCAATGCCTCGGAGGTCACGCCACCTGGCTCGACGTGGCACGCAGCACGGAACAACGCGGTTATTTACTAGAAGGGCAATAGCGGCTAGATGCCCATGCTGCGGCAGGGCAATCAGGTGCACGGCAGCCGAGTCGGGCTGGGGATTCAGCAGGACAACCCCTCGCCAGCCCCTGTTATCGGCGTGCGCCTGGAACACTCCAAGTGGGGGAATATGTTCTGGCTCCTGATAACCAACCTCATGGCATTGTGCCCGAGACGTAAAAGGGTTGTGAAAACGGAAGGGGGTACCCTGTGGAATGGGGCCAGGCAGGAAGGCTGTGGCTGGAAGCAGGCCATGCTGGTGTCGGATCAAGCGGTTCTGCACCCAACGAATGATCATCGGTGCTGGAAAACGGCGTGTGACATGAACGGACCGCATGGACCCCGGGAGATAGTTGAGATCGGGTGGATCTGTCTCATTATAAACAAGCCTAGCATCAGCAGGATCAGGCTCAGTAGCCACCCCGGCTGGGGTAGGCGGCGCCGTCACCGGGTCGGTGTCCTTCAGGGATATCCACCGAGTGCGCCTCTTCATCTTCCGACCCGCTGGCATTCGGAGTAAAGTAGGAGCCAAAGGCCCCGTCCAGGGAGGCTGCCAACCACACGAGACGCACCAGTGGTGGCGCTCTAGGACGCACTGTGAGCAAGAAGCTTGCCAGGAAACACAGGTAAGGGCGGGAAGGTCCATGACGTGCCCCTGAGGTATCCAACTCAACGCTGGCACTAGTCTCCCCTGCAGGTGAAGCAGCCCGCGCCGGCGCACCTTCGGTAGCATCAACGGAGTCCGCAGGAGGGCCGCAAAAGACGGGAGCAGTGTTGTGACTGGAGCAGGGGGACTGAGGACCCGCTGGGGGAGCTTCAACCGCAAAAATCGGTAGGGACGTGAGGCAGTCCGCCAGGCCATGCAGTTGCATGGCCAGGTCGCTCACCCCCTGGGCCGAAAGCAGCGGGGTGTCGACAGCAAGAGGCATATCTGTTTGGCAGGCGACTTCGCAACTCAGCGGCGGAGTCGGAACTTGTTCCTGAATCGAAGCTTGGGCCGGTGAGATGGCGTCTTCGCCAGCCGGCCCCCTCGCCGGTACATATTGAAAGAAGGGCCCGGGGACCACCCAGGGTGTGGGGTCCCACGCATCATCACTAGCTTCCATCGGGAGCGCTCCAATTGGAATCTGCACAATAGAACCAGAAGGCACATCGAGCAGGTGACAGCTGGGGGCGACGAGACGGGAACCGATCACAAGGGTCGGCCTAGAACTAGGCACATTAAGGCCCTGATAGATGTCCTGCACATGCGTAGATGCGATGCCCCAATCAAAGGGGTAGTGGCCATACACCACACTGGCGCGGTCTTCGACATGGAACAGCCAGAAACGGGGCTGGCCCCCGGCTGGGTTGTTCAGACGTGGAACAAACAGGAGGTGCATGACGGAGTCACCCGCGGCTCCAGTGGTGGAGAGGAAGTGGCCAACCTCCCGCACGCCGTGGATGCTGCAGATAAAGTCATGCAGCCATCTAGTGTTGTAACCCTCCGGCTTCCAGGGTAAGTCCACAGGGCGCTTAACCCCTACCGTCCACACTCGTAAGGTATGGGGTTGGGGGCTAGGGATTACCGCTAGCCCGGCACCTAGGGTGTTAGACTCGTCTGGCGAGACGACAGCCGCAACCCCGAAACTATGCACCAGGAATGCGATAAGCCCGAAGAGGGAACCATGGCTTCGTCGAGCTCCTGCTGCCATAGCAAAGCCAAGGATACCCTGACAGAGAGACCCGTGCAACTCCGGGAGGTCTCGGACGACTCTACCCCTGGCTCCCTGGGGTAGCAAGGGCTGTTGTTGGACCCCATAGGCTGGACAGACAGTTTGGGCGTGCCGATCCGGACTGACAGTGAGCAGTCTAAAATGGATAGCAGAGGTGTAGTGTCGGGCGACTGGCCGAAGAACTTCGCGTCCGGAATGGTCCTGCAAGATCCACCAGGTGCCGCCGGTGGGAGGCACCAGGACCAGGTCAAGGGCGTGTGGACCCGTGTCATAAGCGATGTGGAGGCTATCCACACCTTCAGAGTAGCCAAGGGCACGAAGGAAGCTACCCAAATGCAGAGCGAGGCACCGTGGGCGCACCTGGAGCAAAGTAGGGCCTCGGCCCGGCCTCCACAGATGCAGGAGGACTTCCGGGGCTGGAGCAATGCGTTGAATGTGCTCGCCCAGAATCTGGGCACGAACAGAGAAACCAAGGGCTTGCCGGCTAAGCTCGTGGGTCCAGGACATCGTGCATGTGCGGGTCAAATCGAGGTAATCCCGAAAAGGCAGCGGCTCTGGAATCGGATCGTCAGCAGCATCCGCAAGAACTTCATCAAGTCTGACGCTCAGTGTCTTCGGAAGGACAAGGAAGGTACAAAGCGTCAAACACACACGCCATCCCCCAAGACATAGACTACCAAGCATCCAACCGAGGTTGCCAAAGGGGCGGGTAGCCAGGCCGGGTTCGGGCGGTGGGTCTCGACGACCGGACAGGCAGGCAACAGCTTCTGGCGTGTCATGAGAGACACTCAAACACCTGTCCTTCGCATGGTGCAGCGGTTCTGGATAGGGGATCAGCAGCCCATCCCCATGCACAAAAGTCTGGGGAAGCTCCCAAGTGGAGATGTGAAGGGCCTGGGAGACAAGATCCCAGTTGATGTCAACCGTACAGAGACCTATCAACCGACTACCATCCCTAAGGACCCAAGCCTGGAACTCCGGGATACAGGGGATGAGGCATTTGATGTGCCAGGCGTCGCACCAGACATCTGCAAGAGTCGAGGAGATCTCAGGGAAAAGGCTTGGCTCACAGTGCGTAGGTTGCTGGGAGGTCTGCCAAATAGCGATCTCATGTGGGAATCCTCCCGGCCCGGCAAGGGTTTGCGTGGCCCTGGTGGTCACCGGAACTGGGCGGCGCGGGGCCGGAGGAGCCGCAACCTGGCGAAATGAAGCCTCAGACACCTGGACCGACGTATAGTGAAGTTGGGCTCGCATGACGTCAGCATGGAGTTGAACATACCAGAAGGATGCTCCCTCCGCCCGGGTGAGTGCCATCGATTCCCATGTGTTGACAGTGAGTCCATAGGGCCTCAACGCCTTGATCCAGCGAGCCTCAGGTGTCTGCAACTGTCCCAGCCGACGAGCAAAATCCGCATATGTGTCAAAAGTCCCGGAAAACAGAAAAAAGAACCCAGAGTCGGAAGGGTCCGACGCCTCAGAGACACGAAAAACCACATGGTCTTGTCGCTTCCGACAATGCACAAAGATCCGGAACGGAAGGCTCGACCTAGAGGGAAGCTCGAGAAATGTGCCACCTGGCCCTTCTTCCGGCGTGAGCAGTGTGCGAAGGAGGGAGGGCCGCACATCGGAACCGGCACCCACCTGAAACCCTTGCAAGCCTCGGGAGGACGTGAGGATGTAGAACGACTGGACTGGGTCGAGCCATACCGTGGCGGATGTGGAAGCTCTGGCTAGGACATTCCTCGAGAGGTCCACCTGCAACCTATTGGCATCAAGCCGAACCGGGAGAACATCTCCATGCCTCAAGGGGAGTGTGATTTCAGTGTTAAGCTGAAGGGCGTCAGTGGCAGCCAGATCACACGCAGTAGCAATCAAATGAGACGCTGAAGCGTGCCTGGGAACATCTGCGCACCACACCTCGAAACCAGCATCAAAGATGACGGTCACCATGGCCGGTGTCGTGGCCGCCATAACAAGGTGCACCTGGGTTGTCGACAGCCCCAAAGAGGCAGCAGAAACCCGAGGCCTACCTGAAGTGCCGGCGAAACGCAAGATTTCATTACGGACTTCACGGGCCGGCTGTATCCCCAGAAACTCAAGAACATGCGACTCCTCGGGTCCCCAAAGCTTAAAACTAAACCGTAGGTGTTGAGAGCCACTGCTCGGAACTGGCCACAGGGCGCCGCCAACATCCAAGGCGCTCTGTTGCCAGTGAGTTTGTAACCGCTGATGCGCAGAGGGAGGCGCTAACCGTGCCGAGTCCAACGCAGGCTTCGGGGACTCAATAACGAAGCGTGGAGAAGGCGGCTCGCTCTGGGTGAGCATGGCACAAGCGGACTGAACCAGGCAGGCCAAACTCACAAACCGCGAGGAGGACCCGGCACCTAGCACAGCGCAACGGAAGAGGCTTCCAGGAAACTCTGGCCGGGCGAACGACACATCCGGTATATCACCAGCCTCAACTAGCCTATCTCCAAAAGAGGCGTCCGCAACAACATCGTAAGGCGAAGTAGCCTGTGGCGGGTAACCTTCAAAGGGGCCTGTTTCCTCAGCAGATGGACTGGCAATGTTACCGACCGCCCCAACTTGGCCAGGCAAGGGTAGAGGAAGTGTGTGTGCTGTGTTAGCAGACTTGTCCCAAGCATCGCGCCCTCTTGACTAGAGCTATCATCATCATGTATGAACAGATGGGGGAAGAACAGCAGGACGAAAGGCGCACCACCCTGAAGGGGCTGAGTAGCCGCAACCGCAGTTTCTTTGTGCAGGATCCCAAAGCCGCCGGATCGACACGTCATCGGCCACTCCGACGGCAGGTCCAGACCATCGTCGACTGCCGCCTCCAAGGCACGGGCTGGGGTGACTGGGAGCTCAACGCAAGTAGTGACAATGCGCCACCCGGTCGGGCGGAAGTCCAAAACGCATGGGACCTGGGCACCAGTGCAATGAACCTCCAAAAACTGCACGTGTCGGAGAGAGGGGAGTGGTTGCCACAAGCGCATAATGCCACCACTGGCCGTAGGGGACGCCTGCAAGGTCACAAGCCGACGGTAAGTATTGGAATCGGCGAAGACCGGCACCTCGACATATACAAGCCCATTAGGCGTGAGGAGCACAGCATGGTTCGCCGAAAAACCAGAGAAAAGCTCAAGAGGCGGACCAGCCTGCACAGCACTAACTTGCATAAGAGTGTCTAACGTAAAGGGAGGCTCCAAAGATGTGCCGAACAAGGGTTGCACCTGACCGGGTTCCGGCCCATAGGCAAACTGCAAGGCGTCCACCCCCGGCAGTATCAGCGGCTGAGATCCTAAAGAAAACCAGCCTAAACAGCACCTCCCCAGAACTCCATGCAAAGCCCGGAACCGACCCTGCGCGTCCAAAGCGGCTGCAAGCAACTGCCCGCACGTATCAGAACGTTCTCCTCGAACCAGGCAAATGCTCCCTCCTAGTGGTCGCAGATCGATAGGGAGAAGAGCGTCATTCCAACCCAAATCAGAGGGGAGGAAAAGCAACTGCTCCGAGGGAAGACCAGGAAAAGGACTCTGCAGTTGAACACAGTGAGGGTGATCAGTAACAACGCCGAGATTCAATAGGATGCGTCGGTGCAGAGCACGTCCGTGCAGACGTTCATCAGCCAGCATGGTAAGTGGGCACGGCACAAGAGGAGGCTCCTCCACCTGTCTACCAAGGAAGATGGCAACTTGACGTCGGGGCCTAGTGCTTGGAGGAAGCAACAGGTTACATGAGCGTCCGAGAGGTACCACTTCACTGAGGTCGGCCTCGGACTGCGCGGCAGGAATGGTTCCTGTGCTAAAGACAGGGCGCCCTTCATGAAACCCATGGGCGATCAACTGAACTCCGCGAACCAAATGGATGGAGGTCAAAGCAAGCTGCCCTCCGAGCACCACGCCGATCTGCAGAGCCGAGGCATCAATACAGCAAAGGTACAGGAGAAAGCCCGCTTTCCATGGGGAGGGGGGGTGACGGGCAGGTCGGCAGCGGGCATGTCGAGGAGGGCTGTGTGTAGGGATGCATTGTGACTTCACAGAGCGATGTAGAAGATGCAACCTGGGGCAAAGCACCTGAGAACAGAGATGACGCAACCGGAGCCAGGGAGATGGCAGACAGCTGGAGAGGCTGCACCTCTGGGAGCTTCTAGTCAGGAAGAACCCCCATATCTCGCAACAAAACGCAAGGCCACTGATGAGGTGGAACTGACGATGAATGCTTGCGCACAACCAAAGTCCTGCAGCCAGAACACGAAGCGCGAAAATCGCCAGCTTAGGGTCGCACCAAAGGCCTGAGACCTCCCTAGCGAGGGCTGTACACAAATGGAAAATCCTGTACAGTGCGGCGACAACCAGGCTCAGAAAAGGCAACAACAGTGAACCATGAAGGTGCCAGACAGCGCCCTCATGAACCTTCACTGACGTTGGCATGACTCCAGAACTGCGACCCTGGATGTAGCCAGCATGCCTCGATGTCTCAACTCCTGCGCATGCCTCCGTCACAGGTCGGGCTCCTCTGGTACTCTGCGCATCGGACACGGCATCGTCACAAGGACCCTCAAGGCCATCGAGTCCCAAGTTGTGGGTAGGAGACCCACCAAGGGAATCTCTTGCGCAAGGAGCTCTGCAGGAAAAAGCCATTCTTGTGCGGTGGACGGTCCAAACCCGTCCACACTGTAAATGTTGCCGGAAACTGCATGGGCCAAGGTGAGTAATCCTTGCCTTACTGACGGAAGAGCCAAGGGTCTTTCTCGCACGGTTTCCAGCCACAAGGTGAGCTGCTCCACGAAGCGTCCAGTATCCGCGTCCGACTCTAACTGCTGAATGGACTGCTGCAAGGCCCCCCAGAGCCTTTCGCCTTCCGTCACCACCTGTTCCGGATCTGCAGTGAGATGAAGCACCGGAAGCACCTGTTCCTGCGGATCTGATGTGGCTACATGGCCAACATATTCTGCGCCGAGTTCCCAACAATGCCTGGAGATGTGGTACCATGCAGAGGCCCAGGTATAAGGAGGGGTCGCTACCGCCGGTATAAGCTCCTCCTCTTCCGCTGAGGTCCGGGGCCGCCGTGGCCGGTCCGGTGTGAGTCCAGTAGCTACCCTGGGCCAGGGCTCGGCCGATAAATCCAGCTCGCGGCGAGGACTTTTTGAAGGACGTGGATGTCGGTTGCCCCTTTGGTTCCACCTGCGCTTTGCCGAAAGATCCGGATTGGAAACATCCATGGCCTCGCCAGACGTGGAAGACCTGGCTGGTGTCGAGAGGGTGGGGCCATCTGCCTCTCCCAATGGCGAGCGGGTCATAGCAGAGCCAGGGGCCGCGAAGCTGCTCATACCGGGGCCACCAGCATCTCCTGTAGAAGATACTCCTGTAATTGCAGCCTCGCCGCCACCAACAGCGCTGAAGGCCCGCAGACATGCCGCCAGTCTCATCACCTCTGCCTCCTGGACTTGGCTCCAAATGGGGCCCATTCCTCCCAGAGCTTTGTCCACTTGCTCCTGTGCACTGGCTTCCAGGTTGACCGAAGCTTGCTGAAGGGCGGTAATGGCTTCGGCCTGATCTTGATCTAGTCTGGTGGCGACCGTGCTCAACCTGGAAGTCAGGGCAGCGAGGTGCTGACCAATTTTTCCCAGCCAAGCGGTGGCCGCCTCCTGCAAGCTGTGTTTGGCTCTCAGGTTGCCGTTGATACGCTTTCCGAGCTTGTCTAAGGCGTTTGCCTGAGACTGTGCAAGTTGTTGCACAGATTGGTCGGCCGCGACAGCGACGGGGTCGCGGAAAAGTCCGGCTGTCGACCTCGTAGCAATCGCTTGCAAAGCTGAGACCACAGGTTGAGGGTAACCAAAATTGAGCATATCTTTGGTCGCCTCGTCCGGGTTGCTCTGCTTTCCTTTGCCCTTGTGAGAGGGCTCCCGACCTTTTGGTGCCATTGATCCGTGGTGAAGGCGGAGAAGCTGCACGGCCTGAGGTGTTGGGGCACCGCGACGGCAAAGAAGACGAGCTTTCGCACGGGCCTTCCTCCGCCGACGGTGCCAAGGTGGCGACCGGGGACGCTTTCCCGTCGCTGGAACCAATCCACAATAACCAAAATCCCAGAAGTAACAAAAGGGTCCAGGAGGCCCAGACCTTCCAGAAGACCATGCACCTAGGGTGCCCAAGGAAGCACGCTTCCGTCAGCTTATTGAAAAGCAGTGACGGGAGAGCAACCAGTAGAAAATGTAAAAAGGCACCTCCAGTGCCAATATACCCAAAGCCAACCCAGGGCAGAAGGTGATCTCCTCGAACACCAGTTCGGAGAAGTGCCCCGGCTTATCAAAAAGCAGCGGGGAAGCCGTGGCCCTACCCTAGAGCCGAGAGCGACGCTTGCACAGCAAGCTGGGGTCCAGTATATTCCTACCACCCAACACTCCAGGGGAGAAAAGGGCAGAAACGGGAACTCGAGCCAAGACACCTTAAACCCGAAACCCTGAATCCTAAACTCTTAAAGTCCTAAACCCTAACTACTAAACTCCTAAACCCCTAAACCCTAAATCCTACACCCCTAAACTCTCAAACCCCTAAACCTTAAACCCCTAAGTACCTTGAGCCGAAGCTCAAGGCAGCGTTCTAATGCTCGGCCGCGGTACTTATCACGGATTGGGCGATCATGGTATGAGGGTTTAGGGGTTTAGTATTTAGGGTTTCGGGGTTTCGGGGTTTAGGGTTTCGGGGTTTGGGGGTTTAGGGCTTAGGGTTAGGATGTCGGGCATTGCGGAAATGATATATTTCTTTGGGCCGGGACTGAGCCTGTGGCTTTAGGACGCTTGGGTCTTGCAGATTCTGGGCTGATTACGGAGTATTGAAGGCCTTCAATATATGGTTTGTGATCGTTTCCCGGAGCAAGTGCCGAGGTACTGCGCGACTTCCTGGCTGGATGTCCAACCCCCGTCGCTGCAGAGGGGGTGCTCACGGCTTCGTACTGGGCCGGGCGCCTTGCTTTTTCCATTTCCTCATCTCGTTTATATGATTTTGGGGCAGCGTGCGATGGGTGTGGTGTCGGCAACAGGGGGGTTCAGAGTTGTCGGGTTTATAATTGCTTGAATTTTGAGCGAGTAAGGTCTTCGTAGGGTTTTGGGCAGTTGAAAACCCTAAACCCTAAACCCTAAGCCCGACTCCAATGTGAATGGACCTAAGCCCGGAAGCATTTCTTTTGCTGATACCCCGCCTTTGGGATCGAGGGGGTTTCGGCTTAGGGTTTCGGGTTCAATGGTTTAGAGACAAAGTCCCAAATAGGCTCTGGGTCCTCTCTTCAAGGCTTGGTTGTAGGGACATCGGGCCGGTTGCGCACTTGGTGCTGCTGTATTGCAGGACGGTCACCTCGAAGGAATTTTGCGGGGTTTCGTCGCTCTCCCGGAGCCGGAGTGTTGGTTCCGCCTTCTGCTATGCTTACTCAGTCAGTGGGTTCGCGGCAGAGCATCACGACAAGAGCCTCAAACCTATAGCCTAAACGTCCCCAACCTAGACAAACGCAACTTGGAGTTTTCGACCCTGTTCTACACGACGGTTCAACTTCATGATGTTCTGCGTGCACAGACTCCGCTGGACGCGCCGCCGCAGAATATGGTCGATGCACTGATCGCAGATCTCTTCTGCCATCCCAGCATCTCGTCTGCAGACCTGCCATGCTATTGAAGGCGTAATGACGACTATCACATTTCAACAGCGCGGCTGACTTACGGTTGATGATATAAAGCCTGCATAACCGATAATCAGGAATATACCAAAATTCCCATATATTATAAGCTCCTTAAGGTAATGCAGGATTTATATCATCAACCGTAGGATGTTCATCGACGGCTCTTTGGTTGATGCAGGGCTTCAGGTTTCAGGATCTCGAGGCTACATGCCCCTAGGTCAAGACGCACAGCACTCCAAGCCCCTAAACCCTGAAATCCCGTGAGCACCAAAGCCCAACGTAACTCCCTCACCCCCTACACCCTACCTATAGTCTCCATTGCAGTCCCTTTTGGGGGTTCACTTATAGGATCCTAAGTCTAAAATTGGCTTAACCAAAAAAAGGCAGTACAATGGACACTATAGGTAGACCCTCATCTCCTGAACCCTAGGACCCCAAGCAGCGTGAAACCCCAGGTTCGGGGGTCCGAGAGCTCCGGAAGAATACGTATACCGGTCTAATGTCCAAAACCCAATTCTATCTGTTGAGGCCCCTGCATGACGGCATGGGAGAACTGTAGACTCAGGGATTAGGGTTAGACCGGTTAGACCATTTGATTTTCGTTTTGAGAGAAGGCATCTCAGCCGTGGTTGGCCCAGCTATTGGCGCCGAATGGTGGTGGCAGGACACAGGGCTTCCACAAAGCTCGTGTCTTTAAAAGCCAGGGTTCAGGATTTTGGGGTGTAGGCCTTTCCAGCAGTCGAGCCTTGGGGTTCTCGCATTTAGGGTTCAGGGTTCTAAAGCTTCATGTTCGTAGGGCTTTCGGGTTTTGGGGGCTTTTGTGTGTCAGGGTTTGAGGTTTGAGGTTTTCAGGGCGCCTTTGCTGTCGGCGTAATGAGTTTTGCACGGTGTCATGCTTGTGGGGCTTTCGGGCGCAGGGGTTTCGTGTTTACGTGTATGTTCAGCATACATAAATATTCAATCCTGAGGTGTACTTCAACTGCCAACTGCAACGAGATGACCTCATGAGATTTTGGAACACCAAGGTGTTTATCCTAAACTAGTGTTTGAAGTTACAGGGTTTCGGATTTAACGGGTATGGGATGAATTCCCATCTTTCAGAGGGACTTCAAACTGATAGAAGCAGCTATAAGCCATAAGCCCTCTAACCCCCTGTACCCTAAGCCCTAAGCCCTCAACGCTAAGCCCTAAACCCTAAGCCTTCAACCCTCAGCCCTAAACCCCTAGCCCTAAACCCCAAGCCCTAAGCCCTATAAACCCTAAGCCCTGGCTCTCAGCCGAAAAGCTTCCCAAAACCCCCAAAGCCTAAACCAACCGTAGACCGTCAACATATTCATCTGCGGGTGAAAGGATGTCGACGAAACTGACCCTCCGAAGGCAGCGGCAGGGACAAAATCAAAGGGCTAGGGTTGAGGGTTTTGGGGTTTAGAGTTTAGGGCTCTGAAGAGATAGGCGTATCCTGTTTTGTTCCCGATGTAACTATACCATAATACACGCACTTCCCTATTCGAATTGCACAGGTCCCTGTTTTATTTGGGAAAGCAGAGGGTTTGCTTCCACAGCAGCCTCCCACTTCACCATTTTCTGTATTGGACGTTGAGTGAGGGATTCAAGACTCGAGTGCATAAGGAGTTTGAATTTCGGGGTTTTGTGTGGAGGGCTTAGGATGTGATCAAGATCTCGCCGCTAGCCATGCAAGCCTTCACACCCAAGCGCAATTGAATTTGTCTGCATACTTCAGCAGCACGTGTCCGGGAGCAGTGGTCATTGACATTTTCTCTACAGGCTATTCACCCTGCCTGCTCCACCAAACACTTCGATCATATTGTTTCAATGAGTGACAGCCCGTTAAGGCTCAGACCACTTGAGCTTCAAGCTATTGAAGATTTTGGCGCTCGGGGTACCACGTCTACGGTGCTGAGTGCATTGTCCCACGCCCTTGCCTGATGCCCGAAGGAGACAATCAACACACACACACACATATATATATACACACATATATATATGTATATTATATATATATATATGTATAGCCGCCTGTGCCAGACCATCGTGCCGTAGATGACAGTGTGGTCTTGATGTTGTGTCAGCAGCTGTGGATCAACGACACAACAGTCTGTGGTGATGTCCCACGCGGTTACCTCATGTATAATAACCCCACAGTTACTCAGTTCCATGACCCAGGATAACCCCATCGTTACTCAGTTCCATGACCCAGGAGACACCAGTGCAGCATATTACAAGTCTGGTGCTTAAGGTTAAGGTACGGTAGAGAGAGAGAGAGAGAGAGAGAGAGTGGGCTTTGGCTTTCTGAGATGCTTGGCCGGCAACTCCGCTAGTTACTTAGCATCAGACTGCGGCGAACAGGCTGAGGACAACAGATTTCGAGCTGTTTATTGTCATTATTCTGAGTGTACGCACAGTTTATGACCGAGGGATGCTCAATAAAACTGATGAGCCTTGGTTTCAAGGAACTTTAAGGATTTGGCACTCGGGGTAGAGCTTTCGTTGTGGCACACTTTTTTGCCGTGAGCCTAAACCGGCTGAAAGGATTGGTTTAGGGACCCTCAACATAAAAGCAAGGAGCGGGCTGGGAGGGATTCTTAGATGGTGTCCAGATTTGCACCCAAAAACCCCCTCAACCCCTAAACTGTGTACCTCCAACAAAAACTGCACCCCCCCCACCGCACTCACCACCACCCCTTCTTAATAAAAACAGCCCCCCCCCTGCAAAAGAAACCCTGCAGGTGTACCACAAGGACTGCAACATTTTCCTGGAGCATGACGAAGCAACGAAACTCTTTCCAGAGCCATGGCCAACAGCGGCTTCTGTCTTATGTGTTGGATACAAGGTGATTCGGTCTGTAGTACAGTGTTAAGAGTCCATGGGTTTTCATGCAGGACTCTGCACCCAAGCCCTAGACCCCAAACCGTGAAAGTTGGTGTCTTCAACCTTATGGCGGTCAGTCCATGTCAGCAGATCGTCTGACTTTCCCAGGTGAGCCGATCCACCCAAGGTTTCTCAACGTTGATGCTGTCATCACCAGCAACACATGCGCATCATTGTCATCATCGTCGACTACCCCTTGGTAGGCCCCTCCATTTAGGTGATCAGTGCTTTGGGATTTAGGGTAAAGCGTTAGCCTAACACCCCCAGCCCTAAACCCCCAGCCCTAAACGCCTGAACCCCCCAATAATCTGCTACACTCAGACTCGATTCGCTCAATTCTTGCAAGTTCACGGGTACCAGGGTCATCCCGTTACATCAGCCCACTCCTCACGGAAGGAAAACCCATCTTGAGACTGAAGCAAGACCTATGGGATTGGATTTGCATGACCTGGCGGACCTGGAAATTTTATGGTTTAGGTTTAGGGTTTAGGGGTTTAGGGTTTGGGGTTTCGGGGTAGGGTTTAGGCCCTGAACACGGCTGAACCCGGTTCCGCGCATTCACTTTGTCTTAGGATTGGAGTTCGGTGCTTTACCTGACGGACATCGGTGGTGCAACAGCGATGTTCGAAAATGACGAGGTGCATGGAAGGTCGGGTTTCCAAGCTAGAATACTGAGGCATTGGTAGTTAGATCTATCTACATCTATATCTGTATCTATATCTATATCTCTCTCTATATATATATATCTCTCTCTCTCTCTCTCTCTCTGTATCTATCTATCTATCTATCTATCTATCTACCTCACTATGGATCTATCCGTCCGCACATGCAGACAGCGCGGTATGCGGACAGACAGACAACCGTCTCCATACACGATCCCGGTTCTCGGATCGCCTGCCCCCCCCCCCTCTACGGCCCCCCAAATGCCGAGTATCTCTGACGTATCTTGGATTTGCTCAGGTCGAACTTTGCCCCACGAAGCCTATCCACCAGGGTGATGTGAACCTCACCGTGGAAGGTAGCGGGTAGCCTTTTGAGGTAGCCCTGAACACTGTTTGCTCTATCCCTAGCAGAGAGGAGGTAGGGGACGCGGAGGATAGCCCCGCCCCGGTCCAAACATGCCGAATCCCTGTGGCTGTGCGCACTTCTCCCACATGGCGGCTCCAAGACGGTCAACTGTTACGAGAATCTCGTTCCAAACACACCCGATCCTTGTGACAGTGGACACTTTCCAACCACGACTCCGACAGGAGGGTATTAGCAATGCAAACGTGACGTGGATCGCCTTCCTGACAGGCTCGATTTCTGTGACAGTTGACCCAAGCAAAAACATGTTATTGATGTTGTTGATGATGATGATGGTGATGATGATGGTGATGATGATGATGACGACACCACCCCCCTAGCAAACGAATGCCCCGAATTACACCACTCCGCAGCTCCAAGACCCAGACATGAACCAGGCCACAGCGGGTGAGGAGAGGCACCCTCAAGCAGACCCGAACCCCGAACCACTGCTGATGATGATGATGGTGATGGTGATGATGATGATGATGCACAGGGGGGCGAGGGGAGGCACTCCAAGCATACCCAAACCCCGATCCTCATTACACCACAGGCGGGGCTTGACAACCACACCACATCGCGCGGGAGAACCATGCCACAGGGGGGGCGAGGGGGTACAAACCATTGTGGGGGGTGGAGGGGCGGGACGGCCGAGCCGGGATCATATTCCGAAGCCTCAAACGCACCCACCGTTACATCAAAACGTACGGTGTCTGGGCTTTGCAATATTTACTGATGTGCTGTCTCAGATGTAGGCATGTAGGCCCAGTATTGCCTCCGCAACGACATTTTCAACTTCCGAACAGCAACAAAAATACGAATGTAGCCTGCAGAAAGTTCTTACACCCCCAAGTACTTGAGAACAGAGTGCCAATCCGTGCGAACCGTAATGACTTTATATACTTGAGATGTTAAGGCCCTTCTTGTAGTTTCGGTGGCCGGGGCTGACTGGTTTGAGGTTTAAGGGTTTGAGGCATTGCGTTTTTCAGGGTTGAGGGTATAGTGGTTATGGGGTGAAGACTTTACAGTTTTAGGGACTTGGGTGTAGGGGCAGTGATGCAAGCTAAGCACACCGCCAGGTCCTATCTGTGTGGCCCTCGCCAGGAAGGTGCCTCTCCTCTTTGCTATGTTCCAGGTTCGATGAGGCCATAGTTTCAATGGCATGACCCGGATAAAGCTAGGACCAGTATGCTGTCAAGAGGATGGTGAGGATGGTGGTGGCGGTGTTGGCCATGACCACGACGGTGACCATGATCATGGTTATGGTCCGGTGATGATGATGATGATGATGACGATGACGATGACGATGTCGATGATGATGATGATGATGACGATGACGAGAACGAAGAATAATATGGTGCTGATCAAGGCGTGAAGGGCGGAGATGTCAAGTATCAGCTACTGGGGCATCCAGCTCAAGAGTTGCGATGCCGTCGGCGACAAGGGGTTGCAGGGTCCAGGGCCTGAGGTTTCTCGTGTTTTCACGATTCTATCTTTGTCGAGCTCGTGGACCGTTTCAACGGCTACAGGCTCATGCTTGTCTTACGATGTGCTCTCCAGTACGGGGTCGGTTGATAGGGCAGATGGGGCCCGTTCGGTAGACTTGTCATGTGCTGTTCTCTGGCTGTGACCTGATGCAAGCTGCAGTAATGTATTTCTGGAAGGCCTTGCAGCGTTGAAGCAGCTGATCTCACGGTCACGTTGAATTTTTAAAGCTCAATTTGCGTCGTGGTGGTTCCACGAGGCGGTTTGAAGTCTTTGGCACATTTCACGAGATGAGACCTGAGTCTGGACACTGTTTAAAACCATTAGTGCTTCAGAGCGATGGGTATCAGCGCAAAGAAACCGTCTTATTCAAGCTTATACAGCCAGGTCCCTGAGTAGTACCCTTTTGCCCTGTCTATTTTAGGGCCCCCTTACTAAAACCGCATAGTAGGGAAAAGGGTACCCTTACTATAAAGAGGCTACTCAGGAACCAAGACAGTCATAATAATGATTGAATCCCAACTCAGAAGCATGAAGCCCCGCAAGGCACAAGCAGCAAACCTTGGAGGAACACCCCAGACACCAGCACTTTACACTCCAAGCCGGAACCGGAGATCCCTAAACCCTAAACCCTACCGGAGATCCCTGAACCCTAAACCCTAGCGGAGATCCCTAAACAGCCCTAAACCCTGAACCCTACTGGAGAACCCTAAATCCCGGAGACTTAAACCCTAAACCCTGGAGCCCTGAACCCTACTTTAGGTATTTGCTCTTTCCCGGCTTTTGGCTGCACTGCGTGCTCCATCCCGAAGAGTGGCTGCCGGGTGATAGGCCATTTGCCCACTGGGAAATCCTTGGGGTTTGGGCTTAAGGAGTCTAGGATTCTATAGAAGCCTAAAGAATTACCAAGATTGTTCCTCAGGGTTCTAACTATACTATAGAGGTGCCCAAAACCCTATTCTAGCTATTAAGAAAGGCGGCTGCGGCTGCCGCACCCTTTGGATTGGTTGGCACTTGTGCTTTCAGACAGGCGTTTTCAGCTGGTTCCTGTCACACGGGACCCAAGACTCAGACGCTGTAAGCTCCTTAGCCTTGGGCCCCGGCAACCCCCTCGAAGTCAATGCGAAACCATACAACTCCGCTACACTTGCAGGATAACGCTGCTCATCAACTGGTGGTCGCGTGAGCCAAAGGGGCTTTGTGGCTTGTCGTCCTTAAGCCACCCCTCTCCAAAGCCAAGTTCAGTGTATGCAAGATGGTGCTGCCGGAGGGTTTCGATTGGGGGCTCTTTGGGTTTTGCACGGAACTCAATGCATGGCCAAACTGGAACAAGTAGTTTCATGGCTGGGGATATGAATGCATGAATATCTGTTGGCACGGGCATCTATGTAGGTCTGTATATGCACGGACTGCCATGAAGATAAGTAGAGCAAGCTAGGTTGGAACAATTAGTCGTCCACTCCTTGCGGGATGAGGGTCGGCTATGCAGCTATTTGTTACCAAAAGTGCTCATACTGCTTCGGGAATTTATGAAACCTGCATGAAAGCCGTTACTTAAAGAGCAGGGCTTACCTTAGGCCAAACTTTATCTTAAAGCTCATTGGCCTTATACCCAAAAAACCCACCTGCAGCCCTCGAGGTTAAATCACAGCAGCGCCAGTTGCTGGAAGGACTCAGGCAGTCCTTCGAGCACAAACCCCAACCAGTTCCATATTTTCGAAGCCCTCACGGCCTCGCGGTTTTGGGTTCAGGGTTTTGGGTCTAGGGTTTAGGGTCCTCTTCTTCAATGCAACCCAAGACACTAAAGCCCAACCCGCCAAGTCGAAGCCCGATAGTAGGCCCGAAACCCCAAACCCAACGCCTTAAGCAATTAAATTTAGACTAAATGAAACTGCGAACCGTTAGTCCTTGCACTGTAAGACTCAAACCTTAAACGCTCCACCCTCATATCCTCATTCTAACACCTCAAAACCCTAAACCCTAAGCCCTAAACCCTTTAAAACCCAGGTCCTTCTCCCACACTCGGTCTCCCCACCACGTGGCGGCCAGCGCTTTCTGCAGCCACGGCCAATGCCCCCGAGGCAGGGCCGAAGATGCCTTGGGACTTTATGGGTTTGGGGTTTAGGATTTAAGGGGGTTTAGGGTTTAGGGTTTAGGGTTTAAGGGGGTTTAGGGTTTAGGGTTTAGGATGCAAGACCCACTTTTGATTGCAAAGCGTGAACCTGACACCTACACCCTAAACCCTGCACCCTAGAACGAAACCCAGCATTCGTTATCGCCAATAGGTAGGTGGTAGGTGGTAGGTAGGCAGGTAGGTAGGTAGGTAGGTAGGTCGGTAGGTAGGTAGGTAGGTAGGTAGGCAGGCAGGCAGGCAGGCAGGCAGGTGAGGTAGGGAGGTAGGCAGGAAGGTAGGCAGCAAGTAGGTAGCAGGTCGGCAGGTAGGTCGGTGGGTAGGTAGGTAGGTAGGTAGGTAGGCAGGTAGGTAGGCAGGCAGGCAGGCAGGCAGGCAGGTAGGTGGGTAGGAGGGTAGGTAGGAGGGCAGGAGGTAGGCAGGCAGGTAGGTAGGTAGGCAGGCAGCAAGCAGGAAGCAGGTAGGTAGTTGGTAGGCAGGTAGGCAGGCAGGCAGGCAGGCAGGCAGGCAGGCAGGCAGGCAGGTAGGTAGGTAGGTAGGTAGTTGGTGGGCAGGTAGGTAGGGAGGTAGGTAGGTGTGTGTGTGTGTGTCTGTCTGTCTGTCTGTCTGTCTGTGCGTGTCTCTGTGCTTGTGTTTGTGTGAGCGCGTTTCCAACCCGTGCCTTTTGGGAGGTGCAGCTCCTGCCTTGGAGTCGCAGCCTCATCGTCGGAGTGGAATTTCGGAATTTGGAACCTGCACATGTTCCTCTTGCTGTCAGAGTTAAAACTTTTTTTCTTATCCGTCAGTCTCGTTCTCCTCTCTTTGATTTTGCCTCGCTCTCTCTCTCTCTCTCT